ATTTCAAAAGACCATAATATCGACGATTCTCGACAGAAAAGAGATAGATGTAGTCGTCGAAATACGTATGTAGAGACAAGAAAAGAGAACAAACGTATAGCTATATAAAGTAAGTTTACAATAATTAATCTTATCTCACATCAAATTTACGTGTTGAAACTGTCTAAAGGATTTTTTTCTGTTAACGCTATACAGTTGCAGATCTCATGACAGACAAGGATAATCTGTCATATTCTTGTTCTTAAAATGCTCTGTCATTGCCCAGGTGAATGAATCCAACAACGGATCTTATCGAATCCTATGGGATCCGACTCCCCGACAGAATCCGATTGAATCCAATACCAAGGATCCGACTGTAGGCCCGTGTCCAGGAATCCCATAAGATTTCGTCGGTTTTATTGAAACACATGTGGTATTCGAATACGGTTATTAATCTAAGAAAAAAAAATCTCCCAATCAAATATCATCGTGCCACAGTAAATAGATTGCAAATATATTCTATAGATAGAGGTTACAAAGTATCTATCTTTTGCTTGATATAAATAGAAGAGAAATTACACCAGAGAACTACATAACAAGTAAATCTGATATATATATATATATATATATATTCGAACGAACTATATAATTTTCTATTGGTCATCTTATTTTGAAGCTCTACTATTCGGGTTAGTGAGGCTTATCATCATTTCCATTCTCTTGTTTTTCGTGTCATAAAGCTATAGATATAATTAATAGAACAAAATTTTTTGTAAATAGAATTTTAAAGAAAACAAACTAAAGCAGTTTTGACGCTCGCTCACGATTGGCTCGATTTTCATATAGACAAACAAAATTCTAAATGATTTGCTCTTTGTTATTTTCATTACAATTAGGTTATACTGATTGAATTTAATGAGGATGTCAGTAGCGTGAGAGGCAATCTGCAAAATTTACTATCAATTTCGTATATAAACAATTTATGAATAAGTTGTGACACGATTCTGAAAAGAGAATCCTTCGTTATTCTAACAGTTCATAAATAGAAAAATATCTCAGTCATAATGAGTTATTTTACAAGATTTTATCCTCTCAAATAAACTTAGAAATTATAACTTCTCATACGTGAGGAATAAAAGGGTCGCTCGAGAAGTTTTCGTGTGGTGAAACATTTCCAACAATTTATGCTATAGAAAAAAAGAGCAGAACCCTTTTTTACCAGCCTAATATATGACACATTTACTCTTAGTTCTGAGAATTGATTGTATACATCTTTTACAAACATTAGAGATATCATAGACTATACAACATATAAAAATAGCTGAAATATACAATTAATTAACAGTCTTCATATTTGACAAGCATTCAAGCATTGTAAAAAAAAGTGATATATAGAACTAATAATCGCCTTCAGTTTTCAGTTAACTGGTTCCTGTCAGTATAGAAAAAACTAATAAAAATGCAATTTATATATGTGAGCAATTATTTTCAATACTGAACGATTTAGAGTTTGTCTAAGTGAATTTCGCTGAAACAAGAAATCAAGTTAAATTTATTGTGAGATGAATTAACTACATGCGTCAAAAGTAGAAAAAAAAAGATTCTGAAACAAACATCATAATGATTGATTGTGCGTCTTGTCATTTTTGTTTCATCAACTGTACGATATTGCATCATACCAATAGATATCGATTTGACCTTGATTTAAAATATGAACTTGGTAAATTATTGAAAAGAGAAAAAAGCTTAATTATATGTGTTCGAAAAATAATTGCATATGCAAACTTATAATTTGATAAAAATAGTAAAAGTTACCATTGATGACTACTTTTTTCTAATCTAACTAGTGCTTAAATTCAAAAGGTGCTACTGTTTTTAAAATTGCTAGGAGTGAAGTGAAACAGCACTTTAGCATGGTTGCTGTAATAATGAAGTAAATATGACTTATCAGAATGTGCGTTGCATTCTGCGTGAAGTTAAAAACCTTGCCCCGTTTTCATATGGTAACTGGTATACTGGTTAGACCAGCATCTTGGTAGCCTAACATTTGAGAGACATATCTAATTGTTTCAAAAATTTAGTAATCAGCGGCGTTTTTTTTGTCACTATCAAATGAGAGTAGATGAAATTATTCTTGAATTAAAGATCAATAATGAGTTCGTGAAGTTCAGGTTGCTCGATCGAAACTAGTAGTTGTTGCTCGCGAATCATTACAATCTGAATTCCAGCAGTATTCGTGAGCGAGCTCCATTCCATAATTATTTTTTGCAAGTGTTCTCTCGTATCATTATCAGATTTTCTCGGCATAGCACCCGATTTTCTATCTTTCTCTTGTTTTCTTGATATTTAAAGATGCAATCAAACAGTGGAATATATAGGTACAATCTGTTTTTCTTCACTTTCTCTCTCATTGTAACACATACGTATGCCTATTATTGCATAAAGAAACAGAGGACTTTTTAGTTTTCTGTTCTTTTTTTAATCAGTTTTATTTCGGAGTGTAAGTATGCTTTTTCGTTTGTTTGTGCTACTGTTATTGTTGATCTGTTTTCTGCATAGTGCGCAGCTATTTTAAGTGGTTGGATTAAACCAGTTATTAATTCTTCTAAAGAAGACAGAGCAAACAAAACGACGAAAAATTTTCCCACATTATCCCTCTTACCGATCGGCCTATTCAATGAATGTTAACTAGTCTAGATCTGTCATTTCATGTGCTTGTAAATGTCACATTTCACTCAGTGTATAAATAGGCGAACACAGAAGCACTGAAAATATTGTCATCAAGAACTAAGTTTATCGGTACAGAGAATCGTACACAAAAAATACTGGCGCATAAAAAGTCGAATCGCACCTTCCAGAGATTTTCGAGAGAAATACAATTATATATATATATATATATATACATTGGGGCAGAATGACCATGTAAATCTTTTGGTACAGCGTGTAATATTTTCAGGGTTGGTAACACTTATTAGAAATCGAGATTGATAAGTCTAACAAAATTTTCTTTTTATACATAACATATACAACCACGTGTCACGATACAGCCAAGTATACATTAATCAAAATAGTACATACTTAGTAGAGATAAAAAGACGGTTGTAAAATACTTAATAAATACTACTTTCTTCATTATTTTGAATATCTTCGAGCCATTTTACAACGAGAGAAAATGAGAACTTAAAATCACCTAACGATGGAATGATATTAGAGTCAATTGTAAGATTTTAAAAGTAATTATTTCGGCCCATTTACGATTTTTTTAGGACTGATAACAACTACAGCTTGACTGATTAAAGCTATAGATCGTTATATTTTCTCCAGAGAGAGATAACTTGTAAAAAATTTATGCGTAACTATTTATTTTTGCCTAATTATTTGATTCTTCATGACTATTACTCAGTTCTCCATAGATATAAAGAGTTTCACGGCGATCGAATTCTTCATACCTATTTAAAGAATCGTAGCAATTCATAATGTGCCCGTCATTCATCATTGTACTGGCTCATCTATCGAGCTGTTTATTTTCAATTAAGCTAAAATAAACATCAACACATGTTTTTAAAAGATTCGATAGCTATTAAGCCTAATTCACGGCATCAATAAATCAAAAAAACTGAGCAGATTTATTTGCTTAAATATTTTCGTATGGTTAGATTGAGTTCGGCAAAGATGTAACGTAATGCGGCAGAACAGAAACGTTTTGAAGCAAAAAATAAATATCGATAAAACAAAATGCTGAGAAAAATGCCGAATAAATCTTCATAAATTTGACCAACACCCTCAAGTTTTTATTTTAGTAGGGCTGCCAGCACGGAAATTAATCTAAAGGCAAAAAATCTTAAACTTCACGGCGTTGACTTTTCGATATTTGTGTTCTTTTACTCTTACAGAGAAAATGCATTTCTTTCGAGTAGTTTATGTTTACTCTAGAAGCTCAAACAGCTGCTGAAGAAATTGGGGATGAAAAGTAGAATATTGAAATATATATTAATACTTGTTTTCATATGCAATTTCACATGCCTAGTCTCTTAAGTGGTTGTTTGAGTTTCTAGAGTAAACAAAAAATACTTGAAAAGATTTCTTTTTTTTATAAAAACAACTCATTCTCTCGGCACTAAAAATAGGTTGGCCAACTCGCATTTTTTCATATTATACCTTGTTGATTTTAGATCGAAGGAAAATTTCGGTGTATCTTTTTTCTTTGTCCTGTAACTCACTACGCGAGACGCATGTATTTATTTTTCTCTGGTAAATGTATCAATACTAAGACATAGCTTTTAACATTGAATAATCCGTACGATAATCAATCATGATGCGCAACATGTGATGATGGTAGGAGAGACCGCATGTGACGTTGGCATTTACATTCGAAATCAGATACTAGTTATGCATGAGTGCAAACGAATAGTAAATGTAGAAGAATTTTTAGAAGCATTTTAATAGGTGTATATTTTTATGAAATCTTTTATACAGAAAACATTGCGTTTCTCGTAAGTTCAAGTCATGTATATTCTCTTCGTATACTTGTAAAACCATAAAAGCTGGAGTGAATAAATATCAATACGCATTATGTGATAAATATGTTACATTAGATTCTTGAGAAGAAAATCTATTATAATGTCAATGATAAATCAATTCAATAGTCCGATCTTGATAGTGATATCTATTTAGTATCAATAGAAAATGACATATGAAATAGAATTTCGGCTCGTATTTACTTTTTTCGGAATATTTTCTAGAAATATTTTCACAAAAAGTTCTACGTTTTGAAAGCCAGATCGGTAGATGTAGGCAAATAAATAACCTAACTGATTTAATCGCCTGCGATTCATTGAAACATAGGGCACCGTGATTTAGGTAGCAGAGTATTGATTTCTTTTCTTGTAAAATGATTCAAGTTTGCTTCTAAAAACGTTTTTCTTTTCATTCTATGCCAAAAGATATATTTATTTGATAAATTCTTAGGTGGATCGATTTATCGCTAAACTGATCGCTCTTCGTTTTGTATTTACTTTATTATGTATCGATTCATCGCATACGTATTACTGATATCTTTGATTTCTCAAGATATTAATTGTGAAACAACGCCGTTTAATGCAACAACCTATGCTCTCACACATCACTGTGTTTGGTTATCATGCAATGTCACCGGCTATCCATCTACATATGGCGGATATTCAGTGCAGTGTTGTGCTTTACAAGTACCATTAAACTATGCGAACCCTAACCAAACAATCACTATTTCCATGACTCGTCTTAGTCCACAACAAGCAACTAACGAGACAAATACTCTTTTCATGCTTAGTGGCGGACCAGGTGGATCAGGTTGGAATTTGTTCTATAATGCTCTGGGCAGCATTCCATCCAGTCTTGGTATGACAATCATATTACCTGATCATCGTGGTACTGGACTATCAACTGCACTTACCTGTGACGATAATGGATCACAAACGGTAGATTCTGCATGTATCACCTATTTATTATCGAAATGGGGACGCGAAGGAATTAATCAATTTTCTGTCACCTCAGCTGCTCATGATTTATCAGTACAAATTCAATCTTATCAAATTGATAATCCAGGTCGAGTCACTATTTTTGCAGTGTCATACGGCACATTATGGTTGGATCGTTTTCTACAAATCTATCCTACAGTAGTTCAAGCTTCTGTAATGGACGGAGTATTCAATCCTATCACAAGTTCCAATAGTCGTGCTGATCTTTTGACATCGGGTGTTACCTGGCAATTTCTCGACTACTGTCAACGACAGCCTGAATGTAGTAAAAACTTTTTACCCGATCTACCAGCACCTATGATGCTTCACAACATACTAAAACAATTGAAATCAAACAAACAAAAATGTATCAAGAAATATTTCAGTCAATATAAACTAACTCCAAATAAACTTCGTAATGTTTTTCTTGATTTGGTCAATGATGGAACACGTTACATGGATCGTACCATCGTTCCTGCTGTTATTTATCGATTAAATCGTTGCAATTTAGATGATGTTACTGTTTTGAAATACTTTTTCAACCATACTGCAACAACAGCTGCTAGCGAATATCCTATTCTTCTTTTTTCAAGAGCGTTAGCCTATAACATCGGTCAATCCGAAATGTGGTTAGCAGTGAACGAGACTGAAATCGATGAACAAACATTCAATGATTGGCATGCTTCTACCATAATGTCTCTCAACTATGCTCCGAATTATTTTACATTGCGTTCACGATGGCCCAAGTATCCATTGGATAAATATTATGGAAAATTTGCTGAGGAAGCACCTGTATTAATGCTCTCTGGTCAACTTGATCCAGCAACAGTTTTTGAACAAGCATCGCATCTTGCATCAATCACATCGAAAACAAGAAAATTCTACGCAATACCACTTGCTGGACATGTCACAGTTAATATTGGTGTAGTTGGATTTTCGTGTCCAATGAACTTAGTTCTGGCTTGGTCGTTTCCGACATTGTTTCCTGTAGTATTCAGTGATCCACGATGTATTCAAGATCTACCTACAACAATTGATTTTGTTGGAGCAACAGAAATCGGACGCCAATATTCGTTAAAGCTCCTCAATATTAGTCTCCCATTTGGAAATCAGACTTCTGGTGCATCTCAATATTTTCCTCGAACAAAGGCGTTTCGTATTTTTCAAATTTTACAAGTTCTTCTATGCTTTACAGTATCTATTTGGTTTAAAAAACCATAAATCGTATACTCTTCTATTTATTCAGCATTATGCAATTTTCGCTATTTACTCGTTGCAGATTTTTAGATCAGTATTAAAAACAATGTTAGTATATGATTATTTGTGTCTTTAGTTTTGTGAATGCAGTTAACCAGTTAATAAAGGAATATATACATACGAATACGTATGAAAAAGTCATATTGAAGACTTCTCGATTGTTCTAGTTCGAAATTTAATAGATATCGTGCAATTAAAATACATGATTTGCTTCACTCATTTAATTGTATCAAGTTCTAAGAAACTTATTAATCTAGATAAAAGTATCAAACACTCTAATGTTTCCGTTCGACTATGAAATAAGAGACATTTTCACTCACAAGGAAAAACTAAGAATGAAGATAATAGTGACTAGAAGTAATCCATGTCGCTTCTTTTTTTATCAACTGCGCCGCAGTTACGCGCAGAGCCAATTTTACGCCGCATTTATGCGTAACTACTTTAATTTTTCAATTGAACAAAAATTTTCTACAGATTAATTTTTCTATTCTTTTTAATATTTTTTTGTTAAATTTTTTCTGTTAATTTTTATAAAATTTTTAGTTTCTGTGCTTAAAGAGTTTTGTTTTAACTCAGAATAAAAAATGCAAATAAACTAAAAGTCTAGTGTATACCATCTCTTGGAATAAGTGCGCGATAGCTGTGATGGCAGTGTGATTCATAATTGCGAAAACTACGACACAATTGCGCGTAACTACGTCGCAATTTTCCGCAATTACGGGTCACAGTGCGATCGTAATGAAACACATGGGAATTGAAATTCGTTTAAAACGTTCTTATTGAATTCATTGGATAAGTTCGCAAAACTAAGTGTTTTCATAATCGTTCTTTTTCTACTGCATATTTTTGTTGATTGAAAATTTCTTAACTGTGTTGTAATTCATTTCCACTTATGTGTTTGAAGTGTGTGGCGTAAACTCAGTTCTTTTCAATCATGACGTCAAAAAATATTGAAAAAAATGGAGTCGTTTACTCCTCAGCAATAATGTATTTTTGATTTTCTCTAATTATTTCTCCATGGAAACAGTTTCCTTACGGTGATACACCTTTGGTGTATATATGATGTAATTTGCATACCACCAATGCATTGCTGTGTCTCACTGTCACTGAATTATTCTTGTTAAAACAAAACTTCACTGCTGATTTTTCTCTCTCGTATACTTTTCACCTGTTAATGCTACTACTCTACTATCGTTACAGGAATGTATGCATAGCATCAACAGATGACACAAGCTGCCGACCATATTCATATAAAAGTAAAAGGAATATTCTTGGTTATGAATGGCTAGAGTGACTCGTTGGTAACAACATTTTGATATGAATCATTAATATATTGATTCTTTCAATTGACTAAAGAATTATTTGAAAGTATACATTTATAAAGAGAAAAAAAAAGCTTTTTCTGCCTAAGGATGCAAAAATTCTGTTTTTATTTGACAAATATTTAGATTGTCCATAGAAAATGATTGCCTTTCTACTAATTATTTTGGTTTTGGTTATATTGCTTCTCTGTATTGCTCATAGAACTCGTTGGATATACACACTCATATACAAGGTGTCAATGTGATATATATCTAAATAAAATATTTAATAGTGCTCTTTTCATTCGTTTATCATAGGTTGATGAAGATTCAACAGCATATGGTGGTGAACTTGTTGCTGATGTTCTTAAAGTAGGCAAGTGATTGGTATATATTCATTGTAATAACAAAGGTTTTTTTTAATTTTAGGCGCATGGGATTCCTTATGTGTTTTGTTTGTCGGGCGGTCATATATCGCCAATATTAGTTGCTTGTGAGAAACATGGTATACGTATAATTGATACGCGTCATGAAGCAAATGCTGCATTTGCTGGTAAAATCATCTTTTAGATAAAATGTTGAATAACGAATTCTAACTAAAATATATGCGTTTTTTCACCAATGTTAAGCTGACGCAGTTTCTCGTTTAAGTGGTAAAATTGGTGTTTGTATTGTTACTGCTGGCCCTGGTAAATATATTCTGTTGATTTTTGTTTTTTTTGAAAAAACTAATCTTTTGAAGGTTTAACAAATACTGTGACAGCAATAAAAAATGCTCAAATGGCTGAAAGTCCATTATTGTTAATTGGTGGCTGTGCAGCGAACTTGTCCAAAGGACGTGGTGCATTACAAGATATTGATCATATGTCTGTATTTAAATCGATATGTAAATATACTATTAGCGTTCAACGTGTTCGTCAAATTCCAAAGCTTCTCCGACAAGCTATTTTTATTGCTCAATCAGGAACACCAGGTAGATTAAATTTAGTAAAAAAAAAAGGTTCTTTTTAATTGCTGCTTTTAGGACCAGTATTTGTCGAATTTCCAATCGATGTGTTATATCCATTTTATTTAGTCGAAAGTGAACTTGGTATCAAACCAAATGCAAAAGCATTGAGTGATAAAATAGCAAATTTGTTCGTAGAAAAAAAGCAATGAAGCATTTAATCACGATAAAGTTTTGATTCTATTTAGATATTTATCAACTTATATCCGTGGAACATTTGCTGGCGCTTTCGATAAACAATTAGTTTCGCCAATACCACCACAAATTCCATATGCATCAAATATTTTGAGTAAAAAATTAATTTTATTCGAAGATAATCTTCTAGATTTCTAATTTTTAGTACAAAAATGCGCAAAACTTGTACAAAATGCTCAACATCCCGTTTGTTTGTTAGGTAGTCAATGTACGCTTCCACCAACATCAACCAGGGATGTTGTCGAAGCACTTGAAGTAATTCTACTTGTATAGATAATATTTAGTTCTTTTTTCATTGTATTTAATAGTCGATGAATATTCCATGTTTTCTTGGTGGAATGACAAGAGGTTTACTTGGTAGAAATAGTTCAATACAACTTCGTCATTGTCGTAAAGATGCATTGAAAGAAGCTGATGTTGTTCTTTTAATCGGTTAGTAACCGTTGATAGAAGAATCAGTAGATAGGATGTCCAACTATGTGATTGACAACTTTTGCATTAGAAATTATCAGCTAAGTTTGTTCAAGGCATAAAAAGTTTACAAAAGATTGCTTGAATAAATATGATGTGTCTTATCAAAATGCTAGCCGATGATGAGTCATACTCGTAAGAAGTTTTTACTTTTTCGTTCGATGTATCTCAGAAATTTTAATTCTAATTCGATTAACCGTTCGGGTGGTAAATTCCCGAAAAATATTGTTTGATATCTCTAAATCAAAAGCAAAATCAAAAAAAAGTCAATTGTGCACATTTTATCACTCATTATTCTCCATGGGAAATATTTCGTTAATTTAAATATCTATATTATTTTAAAGGCGCTGTTTGTGATTTTCGTCTTGGTTACGGTAAAGTTCTTTCAAGAAAATCAAAAATTATTATTGTTAATCGAAACTCTTCGACTTTGTATCAAGTAAGAAGAGGAAAAAACCAATCACGAGAAAATGTGCAATGATTTCTTTATAGAATAGTGATGTCTTTTGGAAGCCAACATTAGCTGTTAAAGGTGATCCAGCTGATTTTACAGTACGATTGCATAAGTTTTTATCAGCACAAAATTATAAATGTTCTGACTCATGGGTTGAAACTCTTCGAGATAAAGATAATATTAAAGAAGAAATCAATCGGTAATAGCAGATTTCATTTTTAACATATCAATACGGAAAAAAAGATTATTTTTACTGTTTAGAAAAATGGGATTAGAACCAACAGAAGACCATTTAAATCCCATTCATATTTTACAAGAATTAGAAAATCATTTACCGGACAATGCTATTTTAATTGGTGATGGTGGAGATTTCGTAGCCACAGCTGCTTATACAGTTCGTCCGCGAGCACCACTAACGTGGCTAGATCCCGGTGCATTTGGTACATTAGGTGTTGGTGCAGGCTTTGCCTTAGGTGCAAAATTAGTTCGACCGGAAGCAAGCGTTTGGATTCTTTATGGTGACGGTGCTCTTGGCTATAGTATTATGGAATATGATACATTCGTTCGACATAAAGTATGCAAACATTTTTTATGCTTTTATAAATGACCATAATTTTCGTTTTTAAGATACCGGTCATATCGATCGTTGGTAATGATGCTTGTTGGAACCAAATTGCACGTGATCAAGTTCCATTGTTAGGCAGTATTGTTGGATGTTCATTAGAGGTTAGATTAAATTTATTTAAAAGGATGCGAATGAAAGAAGAAGCCAATTGAAATTCATTTTCCGAGTTTATATCTATGATAATAGTCCAATTTTATTTCAGTGAAAATAATATTTTGTGAAATTAAAATTTCTGAAATTTATTTTTCTTCATTTTCGACATAGTTTTCAAGCTATGAAAAAATAGTCGAAGCTTTGGGTGCCGTTGGTTTTCGACTTGATAGAACAAATGAACACGAAATGGTCAATATATTTAAACAGGCAAACGAAATCAATCAACAACAGCGAAAAAGTGTTCTAATTAATTGTCTTATTGGAAAAACAAATTTTCGTCAAGGCAGTATATCAGTTTAATGTTATATATTTTTTAGTATGGTTTTATTGAGATCATTGCATTCATGTATATGTTTTCAACATTAATCAATATAAAGAACAAACATATCTATTACTATAGTATTATGTAAAATTAGCACGACGTGCCCAATGAACTGATGATCTAGATTTTTTAAGACGCCGTTCAATTGGTTCTGTAACATAAGAGAGAAAATTTGTTTTTTCTTTTTCTATTGATTATTCTAACCAAAATAAAAACTTACTGGGAATTATTAATGGTTTCGTATATCCATCGGGAAGAAGTTCATTCATGTAATCTTCTCGATATAATGCATATTTAATTGTCTAATGAATAGAAAATAAAGGATAAACAGGCATTCAAAAATAAAAATCTATTTACTAGAAATGCCGAGTCACATTCTAATTGTTTCATACGATTTGAAATATTGTTGGGTTTTATTTCAGTGGATTTCGTATCACTTGGTATTGTTTCAATTTCTTCTCTTACCGATTGAGTTGATTGTGACCGAGAACAAGTTCTACTTGGAGTAACTCTTGTTGTAAACGATGTAGATGAACAAAACGATACGGGCGCAGATTGACGAAGACCTATTGTGAAATAGAGATTCAAACATAAATGATGAAACCAATTTTTGAATGAAATGAAATTTCTTTTATAACAAACTCGCACCGCAAATGATTCCTGAGAGAATTCAATGCATAATATTGAGTTTCTTAACTGATAGAAGATACGTTGACTGTTATAATCACTGTGTTTGACACTGATTTTCATCGTTTGGCAAGATCTACTCCTCTTCTGATAAAGTAGATATTAACTTACTTGAAGATATTATACGTGATCGAGATGAACAACTACTACCCGTTCGAGTTAACTTCAACGACGAAATACTTGTTGATAATGCTCTTTGGATTTGAGCTTTTCTTATAGCAGCTATATTTGTCTTTTAAAAATAAGATGTTTTCTGAATAGAAACAATCAATTATCGTTTTAATCTCACTTGATATTGGTGAGCAATTTTTGCTGGCCATACAGGATTTTCCGTCATTTTTTGCTTATGAAATCTTTCTTGAAAAAACCAATTACGTTCATCTCGTAAATAGTTTTTATCTAATTCTTCCATCATTTGTTGATCAATAGGTTTTGGATCGGCTACATCGATAGTCTATAAACAAAGAGAAAAAAAAGAATTCTATTTAAATGAGAAAGTATAAATTCTTCTTACTTTAGTTGAGAATGATTTTGAACTATTATTATTGTTGTCACGATGACAAATCAATAACAGATCAAAATATTCAGATAAGTGTAATATTCTTGAACTGTTTAAACCATAATGAAGTAAACGTCGCTCAAGTTTCAAAATACTTATATGACAATCACAAAACTATTTTTAAAGAAAACAATTTACTTCATTGTTACAAAATTCTTGTTTTTCTATTACTTTAATACTTTGTAAAATCAATTCGAAATTTTTCTTATAATTGCTTGATACATTTATTTCATATATGTTAAAAGCAAGACGAGCTTTGAATATTTCATTAAAGCTAATCAATCAAATAAATATTCATCAGAAATAACAATCAATCCTACCTAAATAAATGTGAATCAATCAATTGAAGAGCTTTAACGAACACAACACTATTATATCGACCACATCGAGCGTTGTACATGTAATTAAAATCGATGATAAATACACCTTTTTCAATTAAATCTAACAGTTCCTGCACACGAAACAAAACAGTTTGTATTATTATTAATGAATGTTACAAAAGTTCTTTGACAAGCGTCAGCAACAATTTTAATAGATAAGACGATTATCCTTTTTTTCTTCGAAAATCAACTTTCACCGGATGATGAAAATATGGACGTGTATCTGTTTTATGTTTTGAAGAAAAACTCTAAGCATAGGTTCGACTCTGTATACAAATGAAATTCTTTCTATTATCTTTTGTTGGTAGTACAATTAATTATGATAGGCATTGAGGAACTTTTGAAACAGTCTTATATTGGTTTCGATAAAATCTTACTGTGGTTTGAATTGTTTCTCCAATGCCAAGTTTATTTAGTCGATCATCAATACGTGCTTCTGGTAACTAGAAAACAACGACGAGTTCGTATCAAAATAATCATTACAACATGAAATTAACTTACTGCTAATGCTTGAGCCAACATCCTAAATTAATTTTAAAACAATTATTTTAACAAAAAGAATTATTCATTTACCTGATTTCTTGTCGATTAAAAACTCCATGTACTTTATTGTAATTACATGTTGTATCAGACATGATCGAGTTTGATTTTAATCAGATTAAAAGTAACAAGAAATAAACGCCTTTTTTTTAGTATCTCGTTTCGTTCTGCTTACTTCTATTTTTTAGAAAAAGAAAGCTTTTTTCTACGGATCAAATAACAACAACGATGCGAAGGAATCGCTGTAGAAAAGATTCAGTCATTCTTTTTTTCCTCTGAAATTTACGTTCCACCCGACAAGAGTGAAAATACTTGAAGTAAACCTTCAAGATTTTTTTAATGTTATTTATATTTCAAAGCCATGTGAATGATGTTTGCATTGAATTCGTATGCATTCAAAAAACACGCCACGTATATTTAATGAAATTTAACTGAAGACAAATCAAGAAAAATTAACTAATGAAACATTGTATGACATTCAAACTTAACAAAGTTGAAGTTCATTGAAGAGTAATAAGAAAAAACGAACGATTTTTACAATGTCAACTGTTAAATACAAGAATTCCCTTAGGGGAATCAAATGACTTTGTTTGACGCTCATGATCATCAAATATTGATTTGTAAATTTGTTTACAGTGAGTGGTATAACAGAAATCGAATAACTGCATGTTCTTCTGACAACGAAGATAATGGACTAAAAATTGATATTTTACAATCAAGATGAAAATAATAACTTAATCAAAGATTTGTATTAAAGAAATTTTACTTTTAATTCATTTAGTAGAACAAAACAAAAGTCCTCTAGAAAGATTACTAAACTGTACTTACTCATTAGAACGTAATTGGAGATTTTTGTCGTTCATATTCATCTTTAAAATATTTCTTTTTGTAAGAAAATAAATAGGCATGAGAACTAAATTTTCGTAAGGGGAAGAGTTAGGCACTCAAAAAATCTCATAGATTAGTAATGACAGTTTTAATTGCTATAACCAACATAGAGAAGTTCTATATGAGCCAGAAATAAGTTTTTAGTATACTAATTTAGTTTTATTATGAAAAATGTTTTGAAATATTCCCTCTACTGGGAGGGTATTACGAACAACGAGTTAAATGCGTTCGTTTGCTCGTCCAATAGGAAAGCAGATGCATAAACGTAACTAACCTCAAACGATATCCTGCAGGGATAGGTTTGACCGAAGGTAATCGGGGTCGGGGAACTGTAATCTAGCGTGAGATTTTCAGTTTATGATCCTCAACTTTTTTAGTTAAAAAAGTATTTTTTCAAGAAAATAGTTTTCCTTGTAAAGTTTGATCAGATGCTTTCAGGCTCGAGGGAGTCGAATCGGAGATCAGATTTTTGAAGTTTCGCTTTCTACCTTTTTTTAGAGAGAGAGAAAGAGAGTTTTTTACGAAAAAAATGACTTTGTTTAAAGTTTGACCGAAAGTTTTTGACGCGGAGTCATTCGATTTTAAGTGTAGTTTTTGAAAAACATTTTGTCATCGTTTTGATAAACAAATAGGGTTGCACAGAGGTCTATTGCACAGAATGAACACATGAGTTTTTTCAAAAATTAAAACTAAGTGACCAGGAACTGACGAGTGGCTGGTATTTCGAAAGCGTTTAGGAGTACCACAACGACGTTATTAGTGAGTATGATCCTAAACAAATAAATAAAGTTGATTCAAATAGGGTAGCGGCTGTCGCTGAATCGAATATTAAATGCTTAATAATCTTTCATAGTTCAAGCTAGTTTATAATGCATTAGGAGCTGTTTAGATTAGATCATCGTATTTTCGTGATATGAATTCTTTGTCGGCAAACTTTTTAAGGGTATCATTCGATGATGTTGATAGTGGTATATACGTATATATCGTATGCTTATATTGGATTTTATTACGAATGGGCTATAGTCGTCTTGCGGTGGATTTTATTCTTAATTTGGCAACGGCTATTCGTGATTGGCGCCCCAGAGGAGCGCCGACGAACGACTAGCTGCTCACCTGGATATGTCCTTGTATCATTGCGTACGAAAATTTTATTATTTAAACAAACATGGTTTTGGAGAATGCTGCACTAAGGTCCTTTTCAACAAACAGTTGAACATAACAACATGTTTGTATTTGTGTATA